GACGCTGTGAGCCCGCCGGAGGCCCCCGGGGAGCGCCGCGCGTCGCCGAGCCCAGCGGACCGAGAGCCCCATGGCTGCAACGCACACCGCGTCCCTGCTCCGCCCGCCCGCGCTGCGCCGGCCCCGGCTCCTGCTGTTTCTGCTGCCGCCGCCGCCGCCACTGTTGCTGCTGCTGCTGCTTCCTGCGCCGAGCCGGGGTGAGCCGGGGCAGAGGACCCGGGAGACAGGGACCGACCCCGGGACCTTCGAGAACACGGCGCAGGAGGGACGGAGCGGGACGGGGATCCTGAGAGCCACCCAGGCAGGGCTGCGGAGGACCGAACCTGGGAGGGAGGACGGAGCTCTGTTCCCTGCTCCTCCCGGACTCAGGACCTGACCTGAGCAGGACCCTGACCCTGGAAGCGGGAGCTAGGAGCGCGGCAAAGCGGGAGTTAGGGAGGCGGGCCGGGGTTGCTGACAGAGGGAAATTAGCCAGAGGAGACTGAGCATCCGAGTCCCAACCTAGAAGGACGAGCTCGGGTGCATGGAGCCCGGCCAGAGACCCTGAGTAGTCCTAGGCGACCGAAGCCAGGGGCAGCAGATCGGGCTCCGGGGATGGGGCGCCTCTGCGCGGGGCTGAGAAGGCATCGCCCGGGCCTGGTGCTGGAACTGGGCCAGGCAGTGCCCGAGGAAGAGGAAGGAAGGATTCCCGGTGGGCGGAGAGAGCGACCCTGGAAAGAGCTGGGAGCGCTAGATGGGAAGAGATGTCCCCGGAGCGGAGCTAGCCCGAGCCAGCCGCAGCGCCCGCGTCCCCGCCCTTCCCCGAACGAGCACTCGCGGAGTCCGTACCCCGGGCTCGCTGGGCAGCCCCTCATTCCCTCGCTTACTGTAATGGACCCATCTCCCCCGACCCCCAGAGGGTGCGATTTAGACCCTTCTCTCGCCTCAAGTTCTGGGACTGTTCTCTCTCCTCCGCTCCAGAGAAGAAAAATATCGCGTCTGGACCGGGGAGAAACTTTATCCCCTCATACCCGATGGCTACACTGGGGTTGTATTGGGGGCAAAGGCGGCTCAAACTTAAGACGTGCGAAGGATGGGAGGGGTTTGAAGGAGTGTGAGCCTTAAATATCTTAACCGGTCATTATCCCTAGGGTCGGGGCGATGCCAGAATAGTCCTTTCGCCCCACCCATGACACGTGACCTTTCTAGGATGGCTAATTCCCTGAAAAGGTGGTGGTGGGGTTCTATGGCTGCCTTTCTAGATCAGACGGGTTCTTTCCTCCTGGGAAGTTGGTGCTGGAGCGACTTAGCATCATTGGGGGTGGGGGGTCATGAGTGCTTGTGCCTTCTGCCAGGGTTCTGATTCTCTCTTCGCAGGCCCTTCTTCACACACCCTTCTTCTCCCTTGGCTTTCTCTCTATAGCAGTGAGGTTAACTAGGAGTGAAGGTTCCAGACGTCTGTCCTGCTAAATTTAGGAAATCTTAGTTAATGTTTACTACTCCTCATCTCTCCTTACAACAAAACCAGAGGCCCAACACCCAGAGCATGGGGTAAGGTGAACCGCAACATGCCACACCCTAGCCTATACCCTGAGTGCTGGGCTCATACCCCCTGCTCCCTGCTATGCCTCTGATGGTTTTGCCAGCAAATGAAAACTTGATTTATTGTTATCCCACTCTGCTTTTTAAAAAGATTATTTTTATGCATATATGTCTTTGCAAATGTATGTCATGTGGTGCTGGTGCCTGAGGAAGCCTGAAGAGGGTGTTGGAGTCTCTGGAGTTGTAGTTATAGGCAGTTAGTTGTGAGTCATCTGGTGTGGGTGCTGGGAACCAAACTCCGGGTCTCTGGAAGAGCAGGAAGCAGATTTTAACCTCTGAGCCATCCCCTCTAGCTCCACCTTCTACCCTGCTTTTCCTTTTCTTTTCTTTTCTTTTCTTTTTTTTTTTTTTTTTTGAGAGAGAGAGAGAGAGTCTCATAGACCAAGCTGTCCTCAAACTCACTCACTACTGAGAATGATCCTCCTGCCTCCATCTCTCCAGTACTGGGGTTACAGGCATAGGCAACCATGTCTGGTTTTACATGGTGCTGGGGATCAAACCCAGGACTTCATGTATGCTAGGCAAACACTCAGCGAACTGAGACATTCACTTCGTGTTGCTTTAGAACTTTAACTTTCTATAGTGCCCTCTTGTTAATCATATCAAACAACTCAAACACAAACCACAACTCAAACACAAACCACAGTGTTGATCCTTGTTTAAACAGTTAGTAACTGGGAAGTCAGGACACACTGAACATAATGAAAGTCTATGAGGCTTCAGTGCCTATCTGAGAGTGACTACGAAAGTGGCAACAGACTGTTGGGATCAGGCTTTTTTTTTTTTTTTGTCTTTTTGAAATACGTCTCCCTGTAGCTCTAGCTGGCCTGGAATTCACCATGTACACTTGGCTGGTCTTGAACTCAGAGATCCACCTGCCTCTGCCTCCCAAGTGCAGGAACTACAGGAGTGCACCACCACACCTGGCTCAGGGTTGCTTTTGAGACTCAGATTTTGAGACTCAGATGAACTGTGAGGCCCTGGGCAAGTCACTTAGCATTTCCATGTTTTAGTTATCTGGGAAAGAGGGAATGGTACAAATGACACTCATCCTCCTTAAGTGATCTGATTTAAGTAAAAGACTGCATGGGATGGCACTTTATAATGCATCAAGTTCTGTATATAACAGAGATTCCTATTAAACTGGTAGATACAAAAGGGTTGCAGTGGGAACTTGAAATCCTCTGTATGGAATTCTTTCCAGATGTGCATTCCACACTAACATCTTTTTTCCTGACATCTCCCCTTCCGTGTTGCAGGTCTGGGCCACTCTGCCGAACTGGCATTTGCTGTGGAGCCAAGTGATGATATTGTAGTCCCTGGGCAGCCCATAGTGCTGGGTTGCAAAGTGGAGGGGACTCCTCCAGTGCGAGTCACTTGGAGAAAGAATGGGGCAGAACTGCCCGAGGACACACACTCTACCCTACTGGCCAATGGATCCCTACTGATCCGTCATTTCAGACTGGAGCAAGGAGGTGGCCCTTCAGATGAAGGTGACTATGATTGTGTGGCTCAGAACCGCTTTGGGCTGCTGGTCAGCCGGAAGGCTCGTATCCAGGCTGCAAGTAAGTGGATGTCCCTTTGAAAAAACCAGACTGATGATCAGGGTCAGCCTAGGCCGTGAGAGCAGGGGAACAGCTCAGCCCATCTTGTGCAACTCAAGGGAATGAATTCTCTAGCTTGGATCAGGTGGCACAGTGGTGATTTTGGATGGCAAAATTATATCATGTGCTCACCTGAATGACTGGATTGTGAATTGATAAGCCAATTACTTATGGATTGGAGGTAGGGACTCATTCAAGTCTTGATTCAGCTTGTCCTGGTTTTCATGTATCTCTCCCACTACAAGCATCCTGGTCTAGTGTTTAAAGAAGAAAAATTTGCCTCGCTTTGTAGGCATACTTAAGAGATTTTAAAAAAATATTTTATTATTTTATGTGTATGAGTGTTATGCCTGCATGTAGGTAAATGTACCCATATTGTGCAATGCCCAAGGAGGACAGAAGAGGCTGTCAGATCCCCTGGAACTGGAGTTATGGACAGTTGTTAGCTGGCTTGTGGGTGCTGGGATTCAAACCCAGGTCTTCTGCAAGAACAGTCAGTATTCTTAACCACTGAGCCATCTCTCCAGCCCCACTTAAGAGATTTTTAAAGGGTTATTTTAGCTACATGCAATTTTAAATTATAGGTTAACTTTGAAATCTTTTGATTAGGATAAGACTCACCTGTAATGGAATTCTTAAGCTGGTCAACAATTTGATTTAAAAAATACATGGTTGGAGCTGGAGAGATGGCTCAGCAGTTGGGAGCGCTGACTGCTCTTGCAGAGGACCCAGGTTCAATTCCCAGCACCCACATAGCAGCTAAGAACTGTCCTTAACTCCAGTTCCAGGGGAATACGAAGCCCTCTTCTAACCTCCATGGCATGTAAGCAATACACTCATACACATAAAATAAATAAAAAATTAAAAATACATGGTTAAGCTGGGCGTGGTGGTGCACACCTTTAGTCCCAGCACTTGGGAGGCAGAAACAGGTGGATCTCTGTGAGTTTGAGGCCAGCCTGAACTACATAGTGAGTTCCAGGCCAGCTGGGGCTACAGGTAGACCCTGTCTCAAAAAGACAAAAATAAAATAAAATAAATTAAAAAATACATGGTTAGGCCAGCCATGGCATTGCTTGCTTTTAATTCCAGTACTCAAGAGGCAGTGGCAGGCAGATCTCTCTGAGTTTGAAACCAGTCTGGTCTACAAAGTATCAGGCCAGCCAGGGCTACATAGTGAGACCCTGTCTAAAATAAAATAAAATAAAAAAGCCAGGCGGGGTGGCACACGCCTGTAGTCCCAGCACTTGGGAGGCAGAGGCAGGTGGATCTCTATGAGTTCAAGGCCAGCCTGGTCTACATAGTGAGTTCCAGGACCGCTGGGGCTACAGGGAGACCCTGTCTCAAAAAGGCCAAAAAAAAAAAAAAACCATATATGTATATATATATATATATATGGAGAGAGAGATATTGAAGAAATGGCTTAGGGTGAAGTGCTTACTATACAACCATGAAGACCTGAGTTTGGTCCCCAGGACCCTTGTAAAAAGTGGCCATAATAGTAGGTCCCTGTAATCCTAGTGCCAGGGAAGTGGAGACAGGAGGATCCCTGGAACTCACTGACCTAGTCAAATTTGTAAGCCTTAGGTCCTAATGAGAGACCTTGCCTCAAAAAAACAAGGTGGAGGGCTGGAGAGATGACTCAGTAGTTAAGAGCACTGGCTGCTCTTGCAGAAGACACTGGTTCGATTCCCAGTACACACATGGTGGCTAACAACTGTCCATAACTCCAGTTCCAGGGGAATCCAATGCCCTTTTCTGGTCTGCGTGGGCATTGCATGGCATGGATACACTTACATACACGAATGCAAAATTCATATACATAAAATAAAAGTTTTAAAAACAAGGTGGCAAGTGCCCTTGAGAATGACACCTGAGGCTCTGGTCTCCATGTACACATGCACACAAGTACATGCACATCCCACCCTTGAATATGCACATGAACACACACACACACATACACATTGAACCACTAATTGTTACAGTGATGAAAATGATGGCTATGCTTCACCTGCTCTATCCTGGAAATCTGTTATTGTTATTGTTTAGTCTGTGCACAGTGGATGTGTGTTGCACAAACCAAAATTATTGATGTATGTTGGGGAGGTCACAAGTTGAGGGGGAATGTGAGGCTCATGATTAAGAAGCACTTCTCTTGGGTGGGCAAGATGGCTCAGTAGGTAAAGATGTTTGCTGCCAAGCTTGATGATCTGAATTCAATCCCTGGAACCCACATGATGGAAGGAGAGAAATGACTCCTACAAGTTGTCCTCTGATAACACCCACACACAAAAAATAAACAATATATTTTTTAAATGTGAAGAGAAAAGATACATGAAGAAGAGGAAGAGGAGAAGGACGGGGAGAAGGATGACGAAGAAAAGGCACTGCTCTTGAGAAAAGCCAAGAGTTTTGGCCAGTGTTCCATCCTATATCTCTGTTCCTTAGGGAGGCAGCTGTCTCTTAAAAAGACTGCTTTTCAGCCAGGTGTGGTAGTGCACACCTTTCATCCCAGAGCTTGGGAGGCAGAGGCAGGAGGCGGATCTCTGTGAGTTCGAGGCCAGTGTGGTCTACATAGTAAGTTCCAGACCAGCTGGGGCTATAGGGATACCCTGTCTCAAAAAAGACAAAAAGCCCAGCACTTGGGAGGCAGAGGCAGGCAGATCTCTGAGTTAAAGGCCAGCCTGGTCTAAATAGTGCATTCCAGGCCAGCTGGAGCTACAGGGAGCCCCTTTCCCAAAAAAATCAAAAAAAAAAAAAAAAAAAAGGCTGCTTTTGCTGGGATGTGGTGATACCCTCCTTTTTTTTAAAAAAAAAAAATTTTATTTACTTTTTTTTTTTTTAATGTGTATGAGTGTATTTCCTGCTTGTAGGTAAGTGCGCCTGTGTTGTGCAATGCCGAGGAGGACAGAAGAGGCTGTCAGATCCCCTGGAACTGGAGTTATGGACAGTCGTTAGCTGCCTTGTGGGTGCTGGGATTCGAACTCTGGTCTTCTGCAAGAACAGTCAGTGTTCTTAACTGCTGAGCCATCTCTCCAGCCCCAGTGGTGCACTCCTTTAATCCCAGCACTCATGAGGCAGAAGCAGAGGGATATCTGTGAGATCCAGGATAGCCTGTTCTACTTTAGCAAGTTCCAGGCCAGCTGGGGCTACAGGGAGACCCTGTCTCAAAAAGGGGCGGGGGGGCATAGTTTTACTTTTGATAATAACTCTAACTAACAGTACTTGCTGCATGCATGCTAGACATCCAAAATACTTTATGTGACTTGTCTCATTGAATCTTCATAATGACCATGGAGACATGCACTAACACTCCCCCTTTAGAGATGAGAAAACTGAGCCTGGAGGAGTGGAGTTCAATGGTGACTTTCTGGGAAGCAGAAGAGTCAGACTGCAGACCAGGCAGCCTGAACCCTACATCCTCCCAACTAACTCCTATGGCACGCTGCCTCCTTCCCTGAAAATTCTGACAAGTTTCTTCCTGGCTCAGAGGACATTTGCAAAGTTCCTTTGAACAGGCTGGTGAGTGATGAATTGTTCCAAGCAGGAGCCCTCTTGCTGGGCTGAAGATGCCCCTTTGTTCTAAGGAAGGCTGATCCAGGCCCCCATATGGAGCTCAATGGGAGGCAGCCCTGGACTTTGAGATGAGAATCACTCCTGGCTCAGCCACCACGCCGGTCCCTGGCCTTCTCCACAAGGCAGGGGGAGACTGGTGCAGCCTTTGAGCAGATGGCTGAGTGTGTGGATAGGAATGAGACGTCCCATAACGATGCTTCCCATCCACCATGGCCTGCTTTAGTGCAGAGAGATAGAGACCTGCTGGGTCTTTGCATCATCAGCAGAGGATCCTGGTGAGAGAGAAGAGCTAGGAGGAAAAAAAAAACTAATGGTGTCATTGTGAGATATTTTTTTTCTCATTTGGGGATCAAACACGGGTTCTTGAGCATACTAGGTTATAATTCTACCCAAGACACATTTTGTGTGTTTGTTATATGTGTGTACATGTTGATGTGTGCACATGTATGTGGAGCCTAGAGGTTGATTTCCACTGTCTTCCTTAATTACTCTCACCTTATTTTTTTGCGACAAATCTCTCACTTTTATTTATTTATTTATTTATTTATTTATTTATTTATTTATTTTATGTATAAGTGTTTTGCCTACATGTATGTAAATACACCTCTGTGCAAAGCCCATGGAGGCCAGAAGAGGGTGTCAGATACCCTGGAACTGGAGTTATGGATGCTCATTAGCCACCATGTGGGTGCAGGGAACCAAACTCTGGTCTTCTGCAAGAGCAGTCAGTACTCTTAACTGCTGAGCCATCTCTCCAGCCCCCCACCCTTTAAAATTTTTTTTCCATCTTTTTTTTTTTTTTTTTGATCTTTTTGAGACAGGGTCTCCCTGTAGCCCCAGCTGTCCTAGAACTCACTAGGTAGACCAGGCTGGCCTTGAACTCACAGAGATCCACCTGCCCCTGCCTCCAAGTGCTGGGATTAAAGGCATGTGCCACCACGCCCGGCCTTCCATCTTATTTTTTGAACTAGATTCTCTCATTGAATCTGTAGCTCACCAGTTCAGCTAAACTCATTGGCCAGTAAGTCCGCAGGATCTTTCTGTCTCTGCCTCTCCAGCCCTGGCATTCTAGGTGCACCTACCATGCCCAGCTTTTTACATGAGTTCTGGAGATCTGGACTCAGGTTCTCATGCTTATGCAGCAAGCATTTTCCCAATTATCTCTCAGCCCCTAAGTGTGTTTTCCTATACATGGTAATACCTTCATGATGTTTCATTTCTTTTACCTCTATTGACTGGTTAATTCTTTGGGGTCCCAGGGACAGCAGAGGGAATTGCCTCTGAGCACTGGCAATCTGACATAGTCTTCCCCCTCCTCTCCACAAGTCTGTGCCCTATGAGGACTTGCTTGGGCACCAAGCAACCCTGTGACTGGATCCCTCCAC